TAATATGAATATGAAATAAAGTGGGACTTTACAACTGAAACTCAAGTACCAGCACTTCATTTGATTTACTTCGATGACTCAACCTATCTCATGAGCTATTTTTCATATTCCTTATTTAGAGGACTTACTCATGTCTCAGAGAAAGCCTGCAATGTGATAAAGCAAATGTCAGGGAAGTGTAATGTGTGGTGGTGGTGGTAACACCTCCCCTGCCAAAAATCTTACTTTCACATTTATGAGGCTCTATAAATTCATTCTTACTTTTCCCCCCAAAAGAATGAAAAGACTTTGTCTTTCCCTTCTAATTAGCACAGCCCCATGAAAAGGGGGTCAGACTCCTCCTGGGTGGCACTCCATTGCCTTTCACTGAGTTATGCCTAGCGTGAATTTGGTCCTTTGAATTTTTGGTGCCCTCAGTGTTATTTTTAACACACAAATTACAATATTGGCAGAGAACCATGTTCATTCAGTTTTAGTCGCCTGAAAATTGTCTCCAAGGGAAAGCAAGGAATTAAAAAATAAACAACTAAAGTAGGTCACTCTCAGGCTACGGCTTCACTGCAAAAAGAGTGGAATTATAGTTAATTTGATGTAAAATTCCAGTGGAAACCAAGTGCAGGTCATTTTTAACCTTGATGTAGCTAATCCAGTTTAACTCTAGACCCCTAACCCGGGGTTTACCTCAATGTAGCTAGTCAAGGTAAAAACTACATTGCCCTATCTCCACTAGATAACTAACTCACTGTAAAAATACACCTGTTTTTTCAGTGAAAACAGCCTCAATGGAGTAGCTTCTGCAATGAGAAGGCCCGTAATCATATAAATGGGGGGGGGGATCTATTGCCGCCATCACCACAGAACAATATAGACCTTCCTTAAAACCAGTTAATGAACGTCAATGCGAGAGGTGCATGAACTTTCACCAACCTCTCTCCATAGTCAGACTTCTAACCCTTTTAAAAGGCCAGGGAGCTGCTAGAGTGTGACTTGTGATAGGGGGGGAAAAAAAAACTTACTGGCAAGTCAAACAACAGTTCTCAAATGCTTTTCAACACAGCTCGCAAGGTTCAAAGACCAAACTCAATGGGGGTGGGGGTAAGCATAGTGTTGCACTTGCTTACGCCAGGACTTGATTTGACTCACTGTTAACAGGGGCTAAATCCGGGCTTCTCAGAGGGATTAACACGTATACCTCCTGAGCTGCGACTGTTGGTTACTGGTACCACGTCACACTGGAAGTGAGGATTAATGGCTCTAGAAGATAACAGCTTATGTTTATAAAGGATCCTTCTCCCACCAGGCCACAAAATGCCTCACACAACCCCTGCTGTGCCAAAGAGGAAAAGGAAGTCTGATAGTGCCATTTGGAGAGAGGCTGTGACTCAGAAGGGGGTGAAAAGCTCCAGACAGATGGGACAGCATCAGTGAAATAGTGTAGTAGCTTTTGGCTGTGGAGAGTCAAGAGGATCAGCCTAGGCCTGAGGTTGCTGAGTGTGGGTGAACGGGGCGCGAATAGGATTTGCAAAAAGAACAGGAGTACTTGTGGCACCTTAGAGACTAACAAATTTATTAGAGCATAAGCTTTCGTGGGCTACAACCCACTTCTTCGGATGCATATTGAGTGAAACATATCGAGGAGATATATATACACACATACAGAGAGCATGAACAGGTGGGAGTTGTCTTACCAACTCTGAGAGGCCAATTAAGTAAGAGAAAAAAAACTTTTGAAGTGATAATCAAGGTAACCAAGTACAGACAGTTTGATAAGAAGCAAGTGTGAGAATACTTACAAGGGGAGATAGATTCAATGTTTGTAATGGCTCAGCCATTCCCAATCCCTATTTAGCCCTGAGTTAATTGTGTCTAGTTTGCATACCAATTCCAGCTCAGCAGTCTCTCGTTGGAGTCTGTTTTTGAAGTTTTTCTGTTTTAAGATAGCCACCCGCAGGTCTGTCATAGAATGGCCAGACAGGTTAAAGTGTTCTCCCACTGGTTTTTGAGTATTATGATTCCTGATGTCAGATTTGTGTCCATTAATTCTTTTGCGTAGAGACTGTCCGGTTTGGCCAATGTACATGGCAGAGGGGCATTGCTGGCACATGATGGCATATATCACATTGGTAGATGTGCAGGTGAACGAGCCCCTGATGGTATGGCTGATGTGATTAGGCCCTATGATGGTGTCACTTGAATAGATATGTGGACAGAGTTGGCATCGGGCTTTGTTACAAGGATAGGTTCCTGGGTCAGTGTTTTTGTTCAGTGATGTGTGGTTGCTGGTGAGTATTTGCTTTAGGTTGGGGGGTTGTCTGTAAGCAAGGACAGGTCTGTCTCCCAAGATCTGTGAGAGTAAAGGATCATCTTTCAGGATAGGTTGTAGATCTCTAATGATGCGCTGGAGAGGTTTTAGTTGGGGGCTGAAGGTGACAGCTAGTGGTGTTCTGTTATTTTCTTTGTTGGCCCTGTCTTGTAGGAGGTGACTTCTGGGTACTCGTCTGGCTCTGTCAATCTGTTTTTTCACTTCAGCAGGTGGGTATTGTAGTTTTAAAAATGCTTGATAGAGATCTTGTAGGTGCTTGTCTCTATCTGAGGGATTGGAGCAAATGCGGTTATATCTTAGAGCTTGGCTGTAGACAATGGATCGTGTGGTGTGTCCTGGATGGAAGCTGGAGGCATGTAGGTAAGTGTAGCGGTCAGTAGGTTTCCGGTACAGGGTGGTATTTATGTGACCATCGCTTATTAGCACAGTAGTGTCCAGGAAATGGACCGCTTGTGTGGATTGATCTAGGCTGAGGTTGATGGTAGGATGGAAATTATTGAAATCATGGTGGAATTCCTCAAGGGCTTCTTTTCCATGGGTCCAGATGATGAAGATGTCATCAATGTAGCGCAAGTAGAGTAGGGGCGTTAGGGGACGAGAGCTAAGGAAGCGTTGTTCTAAGTCCGCCATAAAAATGTTGGCATACTGTGGGGCCATGCGGGTACCCATAGCAGTGCCGCTGACTTGAAGGTATATATTGTCCCCAAATGTGAAATAGTTGTGGGTGAGGACAAAGTCACAGAGTTCAGCCACCAGGTTAGCTGTGACATTATCGGGGATACTGTTCCTGATAGCTTGTAGTCCATCTTTGTGTGGAATATTGGTGTAGAATAGGATTTGGAGATGGATAGGAAGCCGGTGAAAGTGTTGGAGGGTGGGACAGAGGCAGGGAGTGAGACAGTTGTCTGGGACCTCTGGGGGTTAGAAAGCTGTGTCTACAGCAGTGCAGCAGCTGTGGAAGAGTCAACCAGGGAATAGTATGGAAACCAACCCATTGATTATGGGGAGGGAGAGGAGTGGCAAACAGAGGAAGACAACAGCTGTGCTGTAGTTCTTGCGTCTGCTGTAGAACAATACCGGACAGAACAATTTCTTGGCTTAGCTTTTTTCTAACAGCTTGTAGATGCATTTGCCATTAGTAGCTCGGATTGGACATCACGCTTTCAATGGGGGACATAAAATCATCTTTATGTGAGTCACTGGGGAGGGGGAAGTGGGGGAGGGGAAAGTGGCCTTTAGCAAAGTGCCTAATGCACAAAGAATACGTACTAGAGCCATACGTTGTTTTGACATAGGAGAAATACAAATGATGGATAATACTGCAGAGCTCGCGAGGGAGGCAGCCTGGCATATGGGAACCATGGGAATGGGAGGCGGGAGGCAAGGGCTCTATTCCCAGCTTTGTCACGGACGCACACAGTGACCTCCAACCAATTTAACACTCTGGGCCTCAGTTTCCTCAGCTCAAGGGAACAGTTCTGGCCCCTCTCTTGTAAAGCATTCGGACTGCCTCTGATGAAAGCTGCCATAAAGCTTATGCTCAAATAAATTTGTTAGTCTCTAAGGTGCCACAAGTACTCCTGTTCTTTTTATAAAGGCAAAGAGTTATTACTAGTACTTACATTAAGGCCAGAGTCAGAGACACCAGCCAGTCAGGACAAAAGCAGCCAAAGGAGGGGTGTGTGGGTATAAAGGGCCCCAACTGGGGTCACCCCTTTCTCCAGCACCCCACTGGACCCTGAGACCTCCCCCACTCTCAGACCACTAGGACCCAGGTGGTGGCTCCCCACTGCCCCCTGGAGCCAGCCAGAGACTCCAGCTAGAAGGAGCAGAAACAGCCAATGCAGGGATCTCTGGACATTCAGAGCTTTGACTTGACTTTTTCCTGCCCTGAGCTGATTGGCTGTTTGTTCCAACCCTCCCCATCTCTTCACCTTAGCTTCACGCCACACCTGCCTCGCCTACCCTCTTCTTCCCCTGCCCTGTCCCTCACCCCCTTTCCCTTTAGTTTAGCCTCTCCTACAGATGGATGAGCCATCACACAGCCTTTGGAGGTTCTGTAAAGGAGCCACGTTTCATTCAGATAACTTGGAGAGAACAGAGTGTAGTGCTGAGCCAGGAACATCACAAGGGCGGCTTCACGGCAACTGCCACTTGCAGCTGGTTCCTGGACAAGAAATGGCTCAGACACTCTGACATGTCACATCAATTTCCGGGTTCCAAACATCACCCTCCCCACCCAGTTTGCTGTGTATTACATGTCCCTTCCCCCACCCCTTTGGGCTCCATTCACAGAACTCTTACAGCTTCCAGGTAGAGGACCTAAGTCATTCAGTTCAAGATGTAAAAGGCTCATGGTTTTACTTTGGGAATCCCCAGGTCAGTCCCTGCTCACAAACAAAATGGCAGCTGTCACACAGGAGCGTTCCCACAAACCACTTGGAAATAAGCCACCGGGTTTCCTGTGGTTCAGTCTTCTTAAAATAAATCAATCCTTTTGGCGCCTTCTGCAGGTAGCCCAGTTGCTTTTACTCTCTCCTCTTTCAATATACCTGCCTTGGACTGCTTTCACTTCTCTCCATGGCACAAGATTTTCATGAGCCTAATGGACTTGTTGCAAACAAAGCAAGCAGAATTTTTCAACAGTTTTTCTTTTATTTTACACTCCATGAAAACATTTCAGTTTTTCTTTCACATTCACAAGATCTTCAGGGAATTATTGCTATTTCCCATATAAAAAAAAATGTCAACGGACAAAGCAGCAGCACATACCGAACTCCCTGCAGACACAGAAACTCAACACAAAAGACAGTCAGTCCCCTCGTGAGAGACAATTTTACCAGAAGAAACATTAGGTGGGAGTGACCATACATATGACAGCAAGCCATGTAACACTGAACAAGACCACTTTTCTCCACATAGTACGAACCAGTAACACTTTGAAGGGGTCAGAGGATGGGGCTCAGACTTTTAGTCTCAATGCCACCAATTACAGTTTCAATGGATGGAAGAGTAACTTTGAGGAGGGTTAGATAGATGTTCAAGTATTACAGGGCAGTTCTTAAATAACAGATGAGATATAGTAGCTCAGCAGGATAGCCTGATCACTTCATTTAAAGTCCCTGGTTCTCTGCGTTAGGTAAAAGCACATACAGTACAAAGGCAAATGCAGAAACACAGGAAACGCCACACCTAAATAGATCAATGGTCCATGTAATCAAATATCTTGTCACAGAGAGTGGCCAATGCCTGATGCTTCTGAGAAAGGTGAAAACCCCCTCTAATGCCCCTGATTCTGCAATAATAAAACCACAAAGGGAAGTTTCTTCCTAACCCCAGCTTCAGATCAGCTTAATCCCTGACGCATGAAACAAACAGCAAGGAAACAGGCAAAACGAATATTGGAGTGCTTGCCCTCCCTGTCATTTCAAGGATTGTGCTTTTCATTTGACTTGCTCTTTCCTGATACAGTTGTTTATTGCTTACACTTTAAACAAGGCTGTTCCTATCTCTTTGAAAAATTGTAACCGAGAGACAGTTGTATGGGCCTGACCCTTTTACGTGGAAGGGGTTCCATAGGGATCTGGAAGTACAGTAGTGGTTGCACTGATTAAAAACTTAGAAAAGCAGTGTTGTTTTGTTTGTTTTTAAAGAGGACATTAAATCTCTAGAAAGCCAGCCCTGCGTACATCACATTTGTTTGTAGTCAGTGTCCATATACACAAGTTATCACCAACTATGACTATTCCGTTTTCAGATAAATCAGTGAGGCCTTCTGTATTGCACGTTCATGAAATGTTCTTATTGGAATCACAGTTGGTATCAAAGGAACATTATTTCTCATTTCCAATAGGGTTTAGCATGATGAAGATGCAGTAATAGGACTAAGTTTTAGCTGATGGACAGGAGAACGAATGGGCACAGAACTCAAGACTGAGGTAGGAAATGTGTAACATGAGCCTTCAAAGTTTTTGCTTAAAGTCAGTTCTTCTGCAAAAAAAGACACAGCTTCCCTTTTGCATGAGGCAACAGGGGGGCTAAGAGTGGAAGACAGGATCTCTGACTCATACTGTAGTAATTGGCCCATGAAACCAAAATTTGGTGAGATCAGACTCCTACGTTGTTTGATGTAATCAAATGCCTCCTCCAGGCGGAACTTTTTTGTTTTCATGAGATAAGCCATGCAGATGGTGGGGGAGCGTGAAATTCCGGCTTCACAGTGCACCAGGATTTTGCCTCCAGCTCGCCTCACGCAGTCTGGAAAGAAATAATTCACCACAGACATTAGTTCTCATTACGGACAGGAAGCAGGCTGCAGTAACCATTTCAAGTGACACTGAAAACAAAATGCATCATCTAGAAGAAGCCACATGTCCAGTCATCCAAGAGGCGGGCGAGTCCCCCTCTTCTTTGATACACAAACAATTCATAATCAAGCAGAGATGGGTCTGAGTCAAAATGCAGATTGGGGTCTGCTTAAGAGTTGTCCCTTTGGTGCCAACTCTAATTTTAAGAAGTCTTTTCCCCTTCTCTTCTGCAAAAAAATTAAACAAATTCTCTTTTTCTACAAAGAAAAGGTGGGAAGTATCAGCAATTCCACAGTAAGCAGAATGTTGTATTTGTTCAGCTTTGTGGGACAGAGTTTGGTACCCAACAGGCATTTGTATGATGCTGCCCTTCCAGCTAGCGTAACATTTTCTTTGTTAGTGCTCAAAGTCATCAATGCATGGGCCCAGTTCTGCTGTCCTAACCCGGACAAAGCTGCCATCATACTCAGTAGGAGTTTCACTTGGGACAGGACTGCAGAATTGAGTTTGATTGGGTAAGGTCACTTGGGCAACTAGTGTTTTTGGAAATGATGAACCTGAACCTCACTTTGGTTTTGAGAGACAACATTACATCTATCTGCCCTCATTTGACAGTTGTGTTGCAGAAATACCCCCAAAACACCAACCTACAAACCCTCTTAAATGGTCCCAAACTGGAAGATAGACAGTTATTGGGTTTTTCACTGGGCAAGTATCTCAACCCATCTTTGAAAGTCTCCCAGTGAGCTGTCGAGCGCAGTGGGTGAAGATACATAATTGAGGGTTCATCTACATAGCAAAAATGACCCTTATAACACAAAACTAGGAGAAATACAGCACCGTAACAGAGCATGCACCTGTTTGCTGGCAGGGCAGAACTGCTGTAGAACATGGCTGGGTCACTGCTATGTAATAGCAAGGTCTCTCACCACTGCTAAGATAGGCTCTTAGCCAGTGTGAAATACCATCTCTGTGCCCTGCCCTGGATCTTTCTAGTACGCACCCCCGCCTCCCCACACACACACTTACAGTTGTGTGGGGATGCCAAGCTTGATTCCTGCGGCTTCCACCACAACGTGCACAATAAATAGTATAAAGTCTCTAATTATAGCCCAGTTAAAGGATACTTGGACTTAAGTCAGGATATAAATGGCTTGTGCAAACTACCATTTTCCACATCAGGAGGCACTGAGGTTACTCACACAACACAATTATTGTTGTTAGATTAAAGAAAAATATGTAAAATAAGCTCCTTCCATAAAAATCGAGTTTGAAAATAGAAATTCTCTGGTCAGGCTGGCTTGAGAAATATGTTCCCGAGTTTACTGAGGAATGGCACATGAGCGTGTGCTCTATACGTGGCCCTGAAACAACATAGAAACCTGAACACGTTATCGTTTTCCTTTCCCCTTTTGTTGTCTGGCAAAGGACCAAATCCACAGCAGTTGGTTAAATTTAGTTGTTGTACAAAATAATCTATGTGCTTGAAGTGCCACAGGAACCTACAGTGCCCACCATGTTAGAAATAAAAGGGAAAACCAAAAGTTAAGCCATCCTCAAAGTGTTTGCAGAGTTCTAAGTGACTCAACTTCTACCAGAAGGGGGGGAGGGGGAAATAATTAAAAACTCCCTACTGATTGTGGTGCACTGGAGTTTCCCCTTAAAACATGTAAAAAGTCCCATAAGTCATCAGAACCAGAAAGCAATTAGAGGCTAGAAATGTATTTTACAACCTGCAATCTACCCCTGGCTTTCTAAGAGTCAGCTGAATCTGAATGACCGAACTAAACTACCAGCAACAGAGAGGCAGAAAGAAGAGACTTCATAATTAATGTTGTGATTCCTCTCTGTTTTCCTTTCAAATGTTATTGATAGCCACCCGTTTATGACGATCAATAGCTCAAGTCTCCACCCAGGGTTACACCCATCTACTCTGTGTTTTACATTGTGCCTTCCTTTTGTAGTGCTCTACAGTTAATTGCCATGCCATTAACCCTATCTAGGTCTAGCCAATATCCTGGTGGTGAGAGGGGAGGGTCTGGATCTTCCAGAAGGCCTCCCAATTTTATGCAAGATAGAGTTACTCAAAAGCAAAAGTTAAGGGTGTGTCTACAGAGGGAATAAAAAACCCTTAACTGGCCTTGGTCAGCTGACTTGGGCTCTCAGTCAACGCTGAAAAAATGCTGTGTAGATGCTCCCCCCTCCCAGAGCTCAGGCCCCGGCCCAAGCCCAGAAGTCAACACAGTAATTTTTCCCCACGCAGTCCATGCCCGGTGAGCCCAAGTCAGCTGACCCAGGCCAACCGCAGGTGGGACATGGGTCTTTTATCCCTGTGTAGACATACCCTAAGTTACTAAGCACTTGTCTACGTGTAAAATGCTACAGCGGCGCAGGTGCACCAATGCAGCTGTAGCACGTCAGTGTAGACACTGCCTATGCCCTCCCATCAGCATCGGTAATCCCACCTCCCTGAAAGACAGTAGCTAGGTCAATGGAAGAATTCTTCTGTCGACCTAGCGTTATCTGCACCAGGACTTAGGTCAGCTTAATGCTGCCTCTCAGCATGTGGATTTCTCACCCCCCGACTGAGACAGTTGATAGACCTAGTTTTCTCATGTAGACTAGGCTTTAGTAATCAAAATGACTTAAAGGAGAAGCAAGGCCAAAATGGCGCTGCAATAATAGGGACATGCTGTGTTTGTACAGCGCCTGCCACAACGGGGTTCTGGTCCATGACTGTATTGCAGTAGTGCCTAGGAGTCCCAAACAAATAAATAAATACTAAGCTAACCCTGTATTCACTAGGAATCATGGGCCTTATCCATAGGCCAAGAAAGCCAGTGGGAGTCTTTCCATTAACTTCAGTAGGCTTTGGACAAGGCCCGATGTGCAGAGGACACCCCCATACGAAAGCTAGAAGGAAGACCGTCGTCTTTGGAAACATTTCTTTATTGTGCTGAAATTACATGCGTGTTTGCTGCACTCTTACAGACACCTAAAGAAACCTCATTTAATTATCTCCAGCACCGTTCCATTGCCCCTGCCCTACGCATGCCTGTAGTCTGTGCAACTTGATCCCACTGAGTTGCCTTGTTGTGTCTTCTCCCGACAAACCTGAATGTAAGTCATATTTGTCCTCAAATTCTGCTCTCTACACAAATCTAGAAAAAAGAGACCCGGGAAGAAACTATGCTCCCAGTCCACATTTTCCTTATTTGCCTGCTTTAAATTCCTCTGATGGTGAGAAAAAAAAATATCCGTCTAATTTTATACATGATTACAGTAAGCTTGGGCATTTGCAATGACATCTGGGAATGTGTGAAAATAATTTGTGCTTTCCCTTTTCTGGGAATGTGTGCAAATTAGTTGCCACATTTAGCTAGAAGAGATCTTTTTTAAATGAATCTCATTTATAAGAAAAAATGGTTAAATGCAGTTTTCCCTTTCAAAAGGGAATTTGTATGCCAATTCCATATGGATTTTGCACATAGATCTAGATTTAGTATTTAAACAGCGATTTTCATATTCAGACAGATGTAGATCTAGTTTTTAGGTCTGTTGTCTAGTGGTTAGGACAAGAGAAGGTGATCAGATTGCTGGGTTTTATTCCTAACTTTACCACTGACTTATCAGGAAACCTTAAACAAAATCCATAACTGCTCCATATGTCAATTTGCCCTTATGTGAAATCAGTAGAACACTTGACCACATCATGGGCTTCTCATGATTTGCAAAGCGCTTTGAGTTCCTTGGCTGAAAGATGCTATAGAAGTACAGAGTATTCCAGATTTTTTAAAATTCAGTGACTCTTTTAAATATTTTTTAAAAGGTACAGTAGAATAGCTATACCTACCAATGAAATCTATGGCTTCCTGGAAGTGAGAGCTGATGTCTGCCATGTGACTGTCCTCCACTGGGATCCATTTATAACAATATTGCTCTTTAAAGGATTCTGAACCTTTCCTGGAGACATTGAGCAAGGCTGTGATGTGCAGGTTGGCTAGGAACTCACACTTGGAAGCATGGTAGGCACTGCCAAGGTAAAGGAAAGGCAGGATTTCAACTGGACCACCCTGGAAGATAAAGATAAAAATAAATGTTATTTTGATTTTTCCCCCCGCCATCAAAGTGAGGTTTGTCTTAAGTGATGGCAGAATCATTGAACAGAGAAATTCAGCAGAGCCTGTCTGGTGGTTTTAGATCCTGGCCAGTGAATCATTGTTAACGGCAGAGCCCACACAGAAAAAGGCTTTCATTTTCTTGTCCCTCCACATCTGTAAGGTCCGAAACCAGTTCCAGCCCACTCGCGCTCATGATGTTTCCTGCTCTCTTTAAAGTGCTTCCCCTTAGAACCCACCCAAAGTGCTTTCACATGTGAAGCTAATTTCCCTGGAGATTTTGCGGAGACAAAAAGGTGCCATTTCAAAGCAGTGCACAAAAAGGTGTGCCCAGAAAGCCAGTTAGTGCTTTGAATGCAGGGCTTAGAACCCACGCACACAAAGTACGTTAACAAGAAACCTCACGGTACCTAATTTGTAACCAAGAAAAACAAAAACAAAAACCAAACAAATCCCCCCCACGCAGACTTCCGAATGCCTAGATATGTGTGTGTGTTGATTGTATGGCTGCTTTGAAAGCAAACCTGAAAACATAAATGGATTGAAGAGTAAAGCACCTTTTTCACCCACACCTAAGAAAGACTTGCACAGTGACAGCTGGTGTCTGTTTGCAGAGCCTCCTCCGACCTTGGTGACAAAGCTTAGCTTAGCTGCCTCCATTTCCTGCCCGCCTAACAGCAGTAACATGGAGGCACAGAACTCTGCCACGTCATATGCACCAAACACTCACTCCTGCTGCTCTGGGCCACCCACAGCTCTCTGCCACCAGAGATGTAATCTCTGTTCCTTCTTCCACGAAAGGAAGTAAAGACTAGATGCGGGGGAGGAGGGGGAGAAGGGGAACAAAACCCAAAACACAGCCTGACAGAGAAGCATTTCAAAGGGACTGAATTCGGCAGGTAACTTTCCCATGGTGCGCTCACTGCACAGCAACCAGGCTGAACGGCACAGCCTTCATTTGCACTATGCTGAATACCTGCTTTAGTCTGGCTACTAATGCTGTTATTCAGCACATGCTGGGAAAGCGGCTGGAATCCGAGTGCTTTCCCCTTTACAAGTCACCTAGAGACCCCCTCCAAAACAGTGCCCTTTTAGTAAATGTTTTGTTCAGCAGGAAAAAGGAATGAACATTCTCAGCCTGCTCAGGACAAACCCGGCCTCCAGGTTCAAGAAACAGAACCCTACTGAACGAAATCATCTTGACCCCAGACTGAGAGCTGTAAACAGGAGTGTTCCCCTGGGTGTGTTTGTGGTTATGAGGATTTTCCCAGTGGAAATCCCACAAAGAGGAAGTACCTACCCTGCGTGTCCTCATCACGGAGAAATTGATCTTCTAAACAATATACTATTCACAGAACCTAGTCCTCCCACTCTCACTCATAAGAACATAAGAACGGCCATACTGGGTCAGACCAAAGGTCCATCTAGCCCAGTATCCTGTCTTCTGACAGTGGCCAATGCCAGGTGCCCCAGAGGGAATGAACAGAACAGGTAATCATCAAGTGATCCATCCCCTGTCGCCCATTGCCAGCTTCTAGCACAGGGGTAAGCAACCTATGGCACGCATACCAAAGGCAGCATGCGAGCGGATTTTCAGTGGCACTCACACTGCCTGGGTCCTGGCCAGCGGTCCGGGGGGGCTCTGCATTTTAATTATAGACTTGTAGAGAGAGACCTTCTAAAAATGTTAAAATGTATGACTGGCACATGAAACCTTAAATTAGAGTGAATAATGAAGACTCGGCACACCACTTCTGAAAGGTTGCCGACCCCTGTTCTAGCATATGAATAGCCCCAGTAATTTCAACTGGGCTACTCGGGGGCCCGATCCAACAAGATGCACGGCACCCACAGGACTCTTTGGTGGCTTGTTCCTGTTAAAATGAATATGCATCTGTTGTAGATTGCAGGAGTGGTTCCTTGCATGTCATACAGGGCAGTAGCTCTCAACCTTTCCAGGCTAGTGTACCCCTTTCAGGAGTCTGATTTGTCTTGCATACTCCCAAATTTCACCTCACTTAAAAACTACTTGCTTACAAAATCAGACAAAAATACAAAAGTGTCACAGTGCACTATTACTGAAACATTGCTTACTTTCTCATTTTTACCATAGAATTACAAAATAAATCAACTGGAACATAAATATTGTACTTACATTTCAGTGTATAGTATATAGGTCATAAACAAGTCATTGTCTGTATGAAATTTTAGTTTGTACTGACTTCACTAGTGCTTTATGTAGCCTGTTGTAAAACTAGGCAAATATCTAGATGAATTGAGGTACCCCCTGAAAGCCCTCTGTGTACCGGCAGGGGTACATGTACCCCTGGTTGAGAACCACTGATACAGGGGAGTGAAAGGTGTTGGAGATCAAAGGTAGATAGATGCACAAGTCCTTAATGGCTGATAATACATGTGGCAGTTCTTTTCCTGTCCCTGCTTTAAGATTTAAGTCCCCTAGAGTGACATTTGCTGCTTAAGGAGTTTGAAAAGGAAAGTCTCCTTTTGCTGACTGTGATGTACCTGCCAGTGTAATGAGAAAGTCAACAAAATAGAATATTTGTGCTAGTTATGTTGGTTTGTGGTTTTCCTTGTTTTGAAAACACTAGTACAAGGTACTACTGAGCAGTATTTGGAAGGGCTCTTTATTTGACATGTGGATTGCGATTCACACTACAATGGCTTTTTTACTAGTACCCAGGTCTGTTTGCATAGTAGTGGTATGCAGATAAGTCAGATGATAGCAGATGCAGCTATCATTTGTGATCTACTTAGGGGCTTTAATTCAAGAGGCATCATGATTTCTTTGGCTGGCAGTACCTCCAGAAGAGTGGCCGCAGTTTCTCAGATCAAGATTTGGTTATTTCTCAATAGAAGGGGGGGGGGGGAGGGGAATCAGATTTGTACAAATATTATTGTCCCAAGATACCACAAAGACTATCTGTAATTATGGATTTTTTAAAAGTAAGACAGATGGTATTTTGATTTTTTTCCCTATTGCTTGGGATAAGTGAACGCTCCTTCTGTGGGCTCAGTCCTGTACCATGGAAGTTAATGGGAGCAGAAGCTGGCTGCTGTGAAAATATTATGTAACACGCACTTTATATATATATTTTATATGATAAGTAGTTAGATTCTAAGGTAACTAGATTGTAAATTTTTTTGGACTTTTTTTTGCATGAGATGGAGGCAACACGTTGCAAAGAGGACAGAGGATTCCCCTAGTGCCTTTCCCTTTAAGCCCCTAAGAAATAACCTACAACTAATCTGAACCTCAGAAGTGCAGCAAATGCTATGTTCTCCTTACCCCCCAGTTTCCCTTCCCCTACAGCATTTGTCAGATCATTTTGAATGTGTTTGCTCTGTTAAGTGGTATTTGTTGGCTCCAATCCTAGTCTCAAGTCTTCAGCATTTAAGACCCCAGGAAAACAGGAAAAACCACAGACCCATTCTTTGACAGCTTAATTGAAGCACCAGATGAAAATAACAGAGTGAATTGTCAATTATAACAGGAAGCCCTGGAAAATGTCTATGTGGGGGAGGGGACAGGGAGAATTATTCACAACTTCCCCTAAACACACCTGATCATAAGCCGGTTTGTGGTTGGTGCTCTGCTTCTCACAGTGGCCGTTAAGGTTTCTCTCCGTTTCATTTCTCTCTGGGGAAATGGGTTTTACATCGACACAGCACTCAGGATATTGAGAGTAAAAGGTTTCATATCCCCCTAGGAAAAAACAGAGAGAGAAATATGAATTTTCAAGTTTCTGAAAATTTAGTTAATTAAGCTGGCTCAGAAGTTAAGCTTCCAATAAATCAGAATACTGCGTAATAAATGACCAGTCCCATGCGGTGTTCAGTAACAAAGAAAGTTCCATTCAGTCAAAGTGTTTGTTTAAAAAGGCTTTGTGCTCTCAAAAGAAAAACTGCGCTATAGCTAACAATTATTAACTTGCTAATAAGCTGATGGATGCAGATTAAAACCATTGGTGAATGTAAATCTGTTGGATCTGGCAAATATTAACTTCATGAGGACTAAACATTTAATGTGTTTTATAAATGATCAGAATTTCTAGCACTTGAGACAGAAAAGGAGATTGCTATATACAGTTTTCATCCCCTTTATGTCAATTATTACTCTATGCATTGTAACAACATAAATAAATAACATAAATGAATTCCATATATTTGCATTTTTATACGAGTATAAGCATATAGGAGGTATTTGCACTGTGATGATTAATTACACAATCACCAGGGATTGCAACTTAATGAAGATGTTTTGAATGAAATCGATCCATTAAATAAACAGCCATAAAACTTAATGAAATCCTGTGATAGCCTTTGACAACTGGATAGCCCCACATGAGCTTTTCTGCACCATTTAGGTACAGTGTTATAGTCACTGCATTGCTAATGAAAAGGAATTAATCCTATTATTACATTGTAACTCAAAGTTTGTCATTAGCTAAACTGACATCTATTTCACCACCATGAATATTCTGCACATCACTTTCAAGCGTGAATGTGAATAACAGTTGGAACAGAAACCATTTAAAAGCCATTTTTGTACTTTATTAATTGCACCTTTTAGTGAGTTTCCAGTAAAGGAAAAAAGGAAGAATAAGTCTTAACAGTAAATTTAATAATCCTTAGGAGTGTGGCCCTTGAGTAAATAAGGCCCCTTAGACCAAATACACCGCTATCCCGATATTACCGCTACCCCGGGTCGCGTTATACGGGGTAGAGGTATAAATGCAAGATATGCTTAGCTGAGTTGTAACTGTTTAATACTACTATACTGTGTCAGTGCAGGGTACCATATTAATGGAATTCCTCAAGAACAACAGAAGTGCTAAGGTTTTGAATGACTGCATAAGAAAGCTGGATGTATTCGCTACCCAAATAAAGATTTTAACCTGTGTCTCAGATGTCTAATAAACGTATGCAATGTTTGAGAGGACATACACTGAAATTCATGCTGCTCTTAATAACACGGGTGCTGGAGTTGCAATATTTTTTCTATTTTCTTCAATGGGCTTTAGATCAGGCCCTAGAAGTATAGTAAGTCCATCCATTCATAATTCAGAAGTATACCTTTCCACCTACTGCAAGACAGTGCAGCCCTTTGCCAGTGAGTATGCAGCGAAAGTCACTAGGTCAGGAGGCAAATAAATAAATAAAATACAGGGCTTTCAAGGGACTAATAAAACAATATCCAGGGCAAATAGTGTTGGCTCTTTAGGCAAGTATTAAAAGCCCTCAAACTCACCCACAACCATGCTTTGACATTGCCTCTCAAAGCCCCTGCCTCTCAAAAACACCCCAAACTGTCAAGGTTTTGATCAGTCTTCCTTGTCTTCCTGCTGGCCTTGCATAGGAAGAATCTATGTTATTTATATATTATAACCATTATATCTATTTATGACCCAAATTGTTGTTTTCACTCTTGAATAAGCATAGAAATCCGCCCAAGAGAAATCTAGATCTATTTTCAACAGAGACACAGATTTCTCTTGGGCAGACCGTGTGTGCAGCAGGCAAATGGTTAATTGCAAGCCTTGGGGATCAAGATATTTGCAGACCATTCTTAAAATGAGTCATCTTCTCATCTGGTCCTCCAGCTCTCTCTCTCTCTCTCTCTCTCTCCCCCCCCCCCCCTCTCCCTTCCCCTTCCCCTCCCCACCCAACCTAACTTCCTTGAGGTCATTTCTGCAAATACTAGATTGCTCATCACATTGAAGCACAGTACAGATCTCTATTTTCATCAATAATTAGCGTAATTCTTGTTATATGAAGCTAGTACCACTACCCAGCCGTAAGTGGCTTATTGAAAGCTTGAGTCCACCACACAGGAACGTAAAACGTTGTACCCTTCAATGACCCCTACACACACACAGAAACTGCACCTCCACACATGGAAGATCTGACACATTGAACTGCTAGAGCTAACAAGTTAAGGGAAGCTTACCAAAAAAAAAAAAAAAAAAAAAAAAAAAACCACCCAAACAGGCATGATGTACACTCAGCACTAAAAGCAATTCTTCATAGACTTGTACAGGGCACTGTGATTAGCTGACAAGAGTTCTGACTCATCCCTCTATCCCATCGTAACTCCCTGGGTCAGGGCCCAATTAGCCACACTTTCCCCCTGTAGCCAGTGCCCCCTCTCTTCACACCACCCCCTTGAATGGTAAACAAGGATGACAGGGAGAAACGGTCTCTCTTATTGCTCTTTGTGTTTATGTCCTCACTCTACAGTCAGATGATTTTTAACACAATTCGACCAAAGCCAGCAACAGCTTCCAGGAAAAAACCCTTCAACAAACAACAGGATGATCCATTTCACGTACCTGGGATTAGGCAGCAATGTTAATGTTACAGAAAACAAAATTAAACTGTTTTCTGATGAATGATCTGAGTGTTTCAAAAGTGATTCTTATTTCCCTCTGGCATTTCAGAAGAGGGCATCTCCTGGAACCACAGTGACTTCTAGGGGTCTGTCTCCTTACTGAGTCAGCCTGGCTGCCCACTGAGTCAGCCTGGCTTCTTTCAAACCACACCATTTCCTAAATGCTGCGATGAGTTTTACATTCCTGTGTGGTGGACTCAAGCTTTCAGTGTGTTTACTGTAAATGAAACGGGGTTTGGGGGGAAAAGGGAAGAGAGTCTGTAGTTTTACTAATTAAGGGAAAAGTACTTCTACACCGAGTGGATATAAAACATTTTGCAATAAAACCCCTGCATTTCACTTTTCCTCAGATATATTACATATCCCACAAACACAACTTCAAAGTGAAGGGCAGTGCATTACAAGGGAAAAGATGGTCTCGTGGTTAAAACACAGGACTGAGAATCAACAGATCTTGCTCTTTTCCCAGCTTTTCCTGAGTGACCTTGGACAAGTCACTTAACACCCCTGTGAGGTAGAGGTTGAAAAGCTTAACTCGGCATTTGGAAAATGCTTTGAGCTCACCCAAGGGAAGAGGATATAATATTGCTACATATTCCCATCTCGGGTGATGGAGGCCTTCCTTCAGCCTTGTACCATGGAATATATGCCTGCATCTCACGCAACTACACTCCTCTCTGTTGTGTTGTTCCTTATATGACGCACAAATTGCAATGAGACGATGTGAACAGAAGAACTGATCAAATTACCCTGTGGTCACTAAAAGATTAGGCTTCATGCTTAACAATGGACATATTCTCAAGTTTGTAATTCACACAAATCACCTATGATTTACAACTTCTCCTCTCCTCACTTACAAATGCCCTAGTTTCCCAGCATTGCTGCAATCATTTATTTGTTTATTGGGAGGGATGGAAGCCTTTTTCTTTGTTTTAAATTTCCACTTTACATTTTAAAATCCTTTCAGGAATAAAACCTTCTGTTATTTTCTGGAATAGAAAACTGCAGTGCATCTGAAGAAGTGGGTTGTAGCCCACGAAAGCTTATGCTCTAATAAATTTGTTAGTCTCTAAGGTGCCACAAGTACTCCTGTTCTTTTTGCAGTTTAAGAGCTGCAAGACCACACGATGAAGTGTTACTGGAAAAGTATGGGAGAGGGCTTCTGTTTCTTGACATGGATTTCCCTCCTCCATACTCCCCTTTACTAACAGCAATTGAGAAGAGCACAGGCAGACAGGATTTTAAAAAAGGGAATGAAAAAGCAAGGCTAGAAGGACAAGAGAGTTACAAGGAGAAATGAAGGAGAAGGGTGAGCAGGGCGGACAGAAGAAAGGGCTGATTGCTCATTTTTATTGTTTTATGACCCACGCATTACACAAAAGAAAAACAAAAACCAGCAATGAAAATGCTAGAAATAGTCATTGGGAGTACTGTATTGGTGACATCGGCCATTGGATTCTCACGCTGGTGAATTACTATGGCCCCAGAGAACCCAGAGATGTCTTTATAGCACTGTTCTTCACAGATTACTTAGGTGTTCTCTGCTCCGCTGAACACGGGGACAGATTACTTGGATTTTCAATTATACGCAGGAGTTATGACATGTCTGATTGAGATAATTTCCACCATTTTAGAGGATTTCAGACACTCAGCGACACTGCCAAGCGACATAACCCATTATTCCCTTATTGGTAGAAAGGGGAATTCATAATTTAAATAGTGCACACACTGCCCAGGTAACAGCAATGTTCAGGTTAGCAAGAGCCCAGCATACTTTTTACCTGTGTGACTCATTAACCCTGCAGATGGCTCTAATTCATATCCATGTTGAAGCCACCTGGTTCCATGGTAATGAACCACACACACACACACACGCACACTTTAGCTCTCATTCCTTAAAGGTGGGTTCAACCACCCTAACATCAGCCCCTTAACTCACGTCTAGTGGCCAAGGGACAGACAGGCCCGGGTCTACCAGGGGCTGATTTGCGGGGTGGGAGGAAACAAATGAAATGAAACTTCGGCGTGTGTAAAATAGGGCTCAGGTCCCCAGCCCAGGGGTGGATGCTGCTCTTTCCGTCCGCCTATGTTGCTCTGCGGGGATGGCCGCTGTTACTTGGCTCCACTGGCTGGAGGCTTTGATCTGATTTTGTCGACAACTGAGCTGGGCTCCCGCCCCACTGCGCTCTCCTCTCTCCCCTCCACTCCCTTGTTTTCTATTCTACCCACTCTCACTACCTTTCTAAGCCCCGATTTCTGCCCCCCCCCCAGTTTCCCGGCGCCCCTTCCCCTCGCCCCCCTGACCTTTCAGGAAGCAGACCCTGGCTCCGGTCTCGGGCAGGCTGGACAGCAGCGCGTTGAGGACGATCTGCGCCGTGCTCTCCTTCTTCAGCTTCTGCCAGTGCCCGGTGCCTTGATCCAGGACGATCACCGCCGCCAGGCGCGCCGCGGCCGCCCCTTCCCCCGGCAGCAGCAGCCGGGTCCGGGCCGCCTCGTCCGGCACCACGAAGTTGAGGGGCACGGGGCCGCCGCGGGCCCGGCGCATCACGACCGAGTTGAGGTTGACATTGAGCGCTCCCCGGAGGCGGGAGGCCGAGTAGGACAGGTAGGGTCTGCAGTCCAGCACCAGGCTGCGGGAAGGCTCCTTCCGCAGGAGCTTCCGGAGCTGGCGGCAGTCGAGGGCCGTCACCTTCTTCATCGCAGTCTCCGGCCCCGAGCGTCGCCAGCGGCGGATCAGGCTGCACTGAACCGGGGTCTCGCTTTCGCGTGGCTTAAATGGAGGGTGGGAAGGGAGCGGGGGGGGGGGGGGGCCCCCCCGGCTGGGGGGGGGGGGGGAAACGGGGGGGGGTGAGCGGTTACAGCTGGTCCCCTAATCCCCCCGCCTGCCGCTGCGGCGCGCCCCGCTCCGCCGCTGCATTTCCACCGAAGCAGCAGGGGATTCCGTTCGCCGGGGAGGAAATTTATCTGAATGGAACGCCGGCTCCTGACGGCACTGCCCATATAAGGAGAGTGACGTCACCAACGTTCCAAATATGGGCAACCCCCCGCCCCCTCCGCGCTGGGGCCGCGGCCACTAAGGTGAGGTGGGGGAGGGAAGCAAGCCCCTCCCCCCCCCCCCCCCCGCGTGAGCAGCGCCCGGGGGGAGGAAGAGGGGAAGGCAGAGGCGCTGCTGGGTAAAGAGTTAGTCAGACCCGAGCAGAGGAAGTTGAAGAACGCCTCAAAAATTCTCCAGTCATCAGCCTTCTTCAGCTCACTCACTCATCACCGCGGGCCCCCTTGCCTCAGTAATGAAAGCAAGGAAGCGCGATGGGGGAGGAGGAAGAGGAAGGGCAGAGGTTGCTCACCTGTCTTAGAATCTGGCCCACAGGGAAGGCGGAGGCTTCAAAGGGCTGCAGATACCTCCTGGGGTTGGTTTTTAAAACCTTAGCTAGTCTTCTGATTCCAGATGCAAACAGGGATGTCAATCGACAGGAAACACGGGCAAGGCCATGTCCACAGTGCGGACGGGCCCTGGTTACAGCCATCAGGGCAGAGCCCTAAAGCAGAGGCAAAACTTGCACTTTACCCCAAGTGCTAGGAGGAGTACGTTACCCCAGTGAGAAGAGCAGATTTGTCTGCCTGGCTTGCTTTTGGCCAGATCCCCAGTGTAGACAAGGCCTAAAATGCAGCACAGTCTGGCAAAACACAGGGTAACAGTCAAGGAGAATTAGGATCGGTTTGCCATGGTAATAGGTTTTAAAGTGGGAGGAGATGGTGTGGGGGTGGGTACAACATGTGGGAATATGTCCTGAAATACATTAACCTCACCCCTCTTTTGCTTATTACTCTTACTTATATCACGTCTAAATTCTAGATTATAAACTCTTCAAGGCAGGGGACCTATTTTACACTCTGCAAATTACTTAGTACACTTGTGGACGCTATAAGAATCATTATGTACTTAGATCAGACCCTCTGAGAGAGTATGGGTGTGGAGAGTATCTAGCACGGTGGTTCTCAACCTATTTAGGCCCACAATGTGTTATGTGGGCCGCATCCAATGCTACTTGTACGGCCCCGAGGATGTCACATGGGCCGCAGCTGTGTGCTGATTGGGCCGCAGGTTGAGAACCACTGACTAGCACCTAATTGGGACCTCTAGACACTACCCCAATACAAATAATAAATACCACTTAGGGCATCTGGCGTGACATTTTATTTCATTGTACATATGTTTTGTAAGATGACCAAATGGACACTGGCAATACCTGAAAGGTAGGCACAACCGATACACGAAAACATCAGCTCAGAGCCAAACTACAGCAGCCACTAAAGATCATACTGACACTAATTCAAAACATTATGTATATATGTCATTATTTAGCTGATGCCTCTAAAGTGTTCCAGGCAGCTCACAGAACATACTGAAGATGCTGTCCCTAACCCAAATTGCTTACAATTTAAATAGATAATAAATGATAATCTACTTTAATTTTTTCAAATACTACAAATATACCAAAGTACACGATTCATCCTAACACACAAAATAAGTAAAGAGGATTATGATAAAGGGACAGGAGGGGAAGCGATAGATCTATCTCCAGGGGGTCTGCATTAGTCATATACCTCTGAAAAGTAAGCCCAAATTGATTTGAATTTTTCAGGCATCCCCCTTCTGCAGAATGCCAGTTGTTTGTTAGCTGTGAGGTCAGCCACATCACCAAGCTGCATATCAATCATTGGTGGGGATCAACTTTTCCATTGTGTAGGATTAATTTTTTAGCGACAAAAGCTGCACATTGAAACAACACTGTCTTGTTACCAGGTAGCCTCCGGGTATCAGGAATATATTCAGAATGAACCTTAAGGGGGAAGGCTCCAATAGAGCCTCCAATATCAAATTGGTCCTTTGACCTACCTCATACCAGAAGTTCTTGATACGTGGAGAAGATAGATTTTACAAAGTAGACAGACAACGTGCAAAGAAAATGTTTGAGGTGGCGTTAGGTACATGCTATTATTATTTTTTATAGTACCCCTTTCCCCTGCCTCTTGTAATCTCTCCACATGCCCCAGATTGCTCCATCCACCCCGACATCCCCCCAAACAGCCAGTCTCATAATGAGACAAAAACAGCCAATCAGATGGTACCAATGATGATGAAAGTCTCTGGTGGGTGGGTAGAGCCTATATGCCCCTGCTGCCTCTAGCAGCTTGAATGTAGGCATGCTTTGTATTCCCATAGCACCTTCTACGCTGCAGTCTCAAACACAGCCTCACCCCCAACCCTGAGGGGTAGGTAACTATTATCACCATTTTGCAGGTGGGGAATCTAACAGAGAGGTGAAGTCTCAGGCACAGGAAGTCTAAGGCTCAGCGTGATCAGAACCCACATTTCCTGCCTCCCAGGCCGGGGCTTTAGCCATGGACCACTCTTCCTCCCCCTCAGGGAATCTCAGCTGCAGAGAGTGGACCTTGGAAAGACTTCCCCTTTAACATTTACTCCCCCTGATTGAACCAGTCAGTGGGTGTGAAGCTGGGAAATTCGGAGACCAGGCAAGAGAACTCACCCACTCCAACTAATCCTTCCTTATTCACGTCCACAGAACACAATGGAAGAGGAAGAGAAGGACTTCCCCTGCCCAAGAAGGGGGGAAAACAGTCACAGGACGGTCTTCTCTTACTTTCAGGATGGAAGCACAAGAGAAAAGTGAGGGGGACAGGAAGGAGCCTGACTGCCCCATTCCCCAGCCCAGCCGTCTGACAAAGCCCATGGTTACAGTGTTAAATGACTGGGACTCTTTCCTATAACACCCCTCTCACATTTAGGAATATGTCAGTAATACAGGACCTGATCCTGTAACTTATTGCGTGCATGGGGTTAGTCACGTAAGGGCTGCAGGACTGGACCCAGGCTGTTTTCAGTTTGGTTTGAGGCATTGGTGTGGTTCCTTTATTTTGTGATTAGCAGGTGCTCAACGTGAGAAGAGAGAAGCAGGTTGGATTCTTATAAAGGGAAGTGGTTGAGCAAGCCAAAAACCACCCTGGTTTAGGTAGGAAACTCCCCTCCCCCATTCTGCCTCCCTCTTGTACCTTCCATCATTACCTCCTGCTGCTGTGTTGTCTCTCCCCTCCTCCCCCTTGTTAATCTCTCTGGCTATTTCTTCCATTGTTCTGGGCTTTTTTATCAGCCCTCTCAGAGCAACTGGTCTCTTTCCTTTTATTTTGGACTATTTCCTTTAAATTATTTTATTCTTTCCCCCACAATCCAAGACTCTTTGTTTCTCCTTGTTCTTGGGAAACAATGAGAAACTTTTCCTTTGTATGTCAGACGCGCTGGCACTTGGCTCCTGCTAGAGAAAAGGGTCAGAACAAAGCTTAACTGTAAATACAGGTAAAAGCTCCCACATGTGCAGTATCCAGGGTACACTATTCAAGAATAAAATGCTGCCTCTTAAAAGACCCAGCGTGCCTTTATTAAGAATATAATTAAAAAACAGCTTTAAAAAGGCTTAGTCAAATAAATAAACATTGCTCCTTTGAGTGCTACCTATTTTAAAGGGAAAAGATACGTGATCAGCCAGCTTTCCATGACCACCTGTTGTGTTTATTAGTATAATCATAGCGCATAAAGGCCCTATTGTGTTAGGTGCTGTACGTGCCCCTTGTAAGAGAATCTTTGCCTCAAAGAGCTTACAGTCTACATAGATGATACTGACAAAGGATGAGAGAAAGGAAGTGCTGTTAGCTGCATTTGAGAGATGGGGAACTGAAGCACAGAGAGTTTAAGTGACTTGTCTGTGGTTACACATGGAAATCTATGAGAGCTGGGAGCTGGACCAGTGCATTAACCGCAAAATCATCCTTCCCAAAGCAAAGTCCTTAAGCTGGCCCCAATTCGTGAAGCTAAATTTTAAATGTGAGAGAGACTCAAAATGAGGGACAAAACCACCGAGCAGACAGCTTGACATTTCTTTAAAGGCATATGAAGTTTTCCATAATCTTCCTTTCTAAATTCAAAATTGCTGATGTCAAACACAGAGCAGCAAGCAGTGAGATAGCAGGTTTGTGTCAGTGATGCTGGTAAACTGAGGTCTAGAAATGAAGGTAAATACATACCTGGGATTGAGGGATGGTTGGAAGACAACAAAAACAAGATTGGAGAGTTAAGGACCCAGAGATTTGACAACTCTAATTCTCAGTGTTCATAATCCTAATAAAACAGCAAATAATTAATTAATAATCCCTGCATTATAATCTATCTCAGTCTGAATATAGTAACATTGTCAAGATCTGATTTTTTTTTATTGCTATATGCAATCAAAGATATATGCTCTGCATTCCATTACAATCTCTCACCTTGCTTAATGGCACCGCCAGCATGATTCATTGTTGAATCTGACCCTCTTTTCAGAAAGGTGTTGCTAATTTGAAGACTAGTAATTGCAAATGCATTTGTGATAAACTGAGTTAGTTGATCTTTGAGTGCCACAGATGTAGATTCCAGCAAATCTGCCATCGTAAAAGGAATTATGCAAAACTGGATCCCACAAATTGTAAAATTAGGCCCAACTAGCTGATGGAATTGGGGTTTTATTGTAGAATGAGTGTACCAGACTAACACGGCTGCTACTCTGAAACCTGTACCAGACTTGGAATCTATTCCCAGCTCTGCCATTGACTTGCTTGTTGACCTTGAGCAAGTCATAACCATTCTGTGCCTCAGTTTCCCCACCCATTAATGGAGATAACGCTCACTTTTCACAG